GCTCCAGCACAACAAAAATCCTATCCAACCCCTAAAGTTTGAACGTTACAGCACTGGACTTGGTCACATTCCATCAGGCATCCAGTTTTATGAGACCAAGTCATGACTTATGTGCCCTTATGCACAAAATACACAGATGCTCCCCTGAAGATTGAAAATGTGAGATGCAATGTTGGGTTTCTCCAAGAACGTTTTGTGATAAACATAGTTGGTTCCTCAGGCCTTTTATTAGAAACTACTAGATCTTTCTACTGTAGCTAGGTGATAATGATTACTTTGTATATAAAGGAACAAGTATCTTAGGCCAATTAGGACAGGACTTCCTTGTAAGTATGCAGATTTGAGATTGTAGCTGTTCTTGAGTGGAAAAAGTAATGTTTCTCATGATGGCAGAAGTGAAAAACTGTCCCAACGTAATTACGCTGCATTCCAATCAGCTAAATATCAGCGTTGTGTAATAGCTCTGTGTCCAGCTCCTGTTGTGTGCTCATGTCTGTGCTGGGGTAACTACACCAGTGTCTTAGCATGAAGTCACATTCCATGTATATGCAAAGGCTCTTCATGGAAACATCACCATGTGGTTTTTTTAATCTTGTTCTTTGTTCAGTTGAGATTTGTGTCAAGACTCACTATCTACAGAGTAGCCATTTTATACTAAGAGGATATTTTTTATCATAGCTTCATATACATAATGAAGTTTCACATCCAAACTCAAGAGTGCAGGTATGTGTTTTCTTTTAAAGTTCCTGCCACGGCAAGTATTGCACACCCACCGACCTCTCAAAGACTGCAGGGGTCCCAAAGGGACTGGGATATATTTTTTAACCTCTTAAATCTAAGTTCCTAACATTCTCCCTCCACCTCATTTTGGACACAGTGACTCAGACAGATGGTTGTTATAGAAAATTACATACCAAAATGGAAGGTAGAAATAAGGTGCATGGTATCAGTCCAAGAATGCACCTCTCTCTTACTCTTCAATTTTTGGGAATAATCTTTTCCAAACAAGCCACAGGTGCAGAGGTAGGACATTCATCATCACCTATGCCTTCAGAACACCTGCAGTTACAAGTCATTTCAGAACTTTTAGAGAATCATGTTTTAAACCTGTCTTTATTACTGAAAAAATGCAGTGTTAAAAATTAGTAAAAATCTTCATTAAAGACCTACTTTATGGAAGATTTTAGTAACTATTTGCTATTTTTATGTTAGAAAAGCACACCAGTTAAAATTTAGATTACATCTAGAAAAGTCATTAAATGCTTCAAAATGTATCATTACTTTAAAATGTGTAAGAGAACTCATTCCTGAATCTGTGCTACAAACTTTGTAGTTAACAATGCTCTTTAACAACATGCAAGACGGTGCAAAGGAACATTAAAACAGACAGCTGACAAAATTTTATAGATATTTAAGGATTATACCATCACAGGACACAAATGTCCCTCATTCACAAAAGATAAATTTGCATTTCATAAAATGTTCAAACTGCTTTGAAAACACTTATCAAAGGTGACGGATTTTGCATTCCTAAGAAGGTGAAATCTTCCACTGCAAAATGTCAACACGGGGTTGAGTAATTTATACATCGTTGGTAGTTTCCATTTTCACATTAACAAATGGGTTTGACTCAATCATAGTCTTCTGTTTCACAGTCTGAGAATTTGGCTAACATGACAACTGCTTTGGTAAAATAATTGAGTATTGAAGCAATTAACTCTGAGTTTTTCTCTTAATTAAGGGTTAAGTCCAGCAGACCCAAGTCAGATCACTACAGGAGGAATTTCTTCTAAGGAAAGAAATGAAGTGCCAAGGAAATCATTCAGAGCTCCTACTCTAAGTACCTCAGCTAGATCATGTAAACATCTCCATGTTTCATGATGTTTCTGTGAGACTTCAGCTTGCTGTGGTAATAATGAAAGAAACTGAATCCAGAATGAAATTCAGGTGAATTAATTGCAGTGTAAACATGATGGGCCCAGGGTTTTTGCAGATTTGCAGAACTGTGAGGCTAGCTTTATAAGGCATATAGTTAGCTTTCATCTCAGCTTTTGAGTTTGCTTCTAGGTTTGTCTCATCATATGGAATGGGTTTCATTCTGCAGCCTGTTCTCCTCCCACCTAGGAGCGACTTGAGGGTTGCATAGAGGAAGCAAAAAAAGATATTTTGCATCATTTAATTATGAGCCCTTTAGCTGCCTGAATAATGTTAATGGAGTCCAGAAAAATGTGCCTTGTCTGCCTTAGGCAGCATAAAATGGGAACATGCTTGAGCTCAGAGGGGAAAAGAGGCACATGGAGAGACTGGAACAGGGACGTTGCACTTGACAAATGACCCAAGTGTGAGAAAATTTAGTAGCAAAATATAAACACTTCATCTTCTGAGAAGCCTGGCATTATCAGAAAAAAAGGTTTCACTGGACCTTGACAAAAACCCCAAACAAACAAAAACCCCAAATTAAAAAAAGGTCTTTTCACAGCCTAATTCCCTTCTGAGCTAATCAGGCTCCAGTTATTTGAGTCATTACTGGTGCAATCAGGGTGAATTGTTAAGTGTCCCTCCACTGGAAGAAACAGTTCTCTCCAGTTTCCATCCCTGAATTTCCACTGTTTTTCTTGATGTTATTCCCCTTTTATAATCAAGGCAGTGACAAAGGGTAAGGCCAATACATCTAACCCCCCCAAGGCCTTGGTAAATCAGTACAATGATGACCTGTGAAGGTGAAGGACCAGGCCTGATCCTGCTCCCACTGAGGTCTGTGGGAGTTAGGCTCATAAACAAGAAACTTCTCTCAGTCGTAGCTGTCTTCAGATTCTGTAGCTGTCCATCTCCCTTGGCTATTCCTTCCAAGTCTACAGTTCCAGAGGTGGAAATTCTCTTAACTTGGAGCACATACTCTGACAAGTGACAGGGTCTTACACAAATACAAGAGCTTGTAATAAGCATGATCCAGGTTTGGAGTGAGATTAGGAGCATGACGTAGCTATGATGAAAAAATACATCAGCTGATTTAGAGCCAGGCAACCCCATGTCAGTAGTCAGGAAAATTGCTGATTACTTGCTAAAAGCATTACAAGCCTCTTTCTGCTAATAAGATAGATAACATAATTCAGCAAGTGGAATAAGTATTGTTTATTCAAAATCTCCATTCCTTACTACTATATCAAGCTGCTACTCTGATTATATTGATAGATGTCATACACAAAATTCCATCTCCTTCAGACAGGACAAAGAAATGGAGAATGAACCCATGAAGGCCTGCCCTGTTTTCTGTTGCACCAAAATAGGGGTATTAGGTATCATGACTTCTGTTCAATTATCTTGACATGCAACCAGTGAGGCTCTAGTCTTGGCATTCCTATGCTAGTTTTGCAGAGGAGATGCCTCCTTCTGAGAGAATGGGAAGACAAAAGCAGCTTTGCTAATAGAATGTCTCCTAGAATAGCAGATTCATATTTCAGGAATATGAAATCATCCTGCCTTTCCACCATGAGCCTTAGGATTTCTAAATTCAGTTTAGAATTTAGATAGCAAACTACCCTCTAAACAGTGACTTGATGAAATGCAGGAACCCTGTGGAAGGCTGTGTTTTTCTTAAAGTGTGACAGAAGGAGTATTTATTTTGAGTACAAAACTCCCTCATTAAAAAAAAAAAAGCATGGCTTTGTAGAGTTTTTTTTCAGAAGTAAAACTCATGAGGAAGCATCAATGTCTTTAAAGCCCTGTTTAAATCTCAGGTCAATGTTATACTTGTATTTTGTTGCAGCAAACATGATATACGTCACAAATCATTCCATTCCATAAAAACTCTCCCAGACTAAAATGAACTTACTTCATATCAAGCTGAAGCTTTTTCCTGTATATGCTGAGATGTAGGAAAATATAAAATTCAGATTGTGGTTTAGCTAGGAAAAAATAGGACATTTTAAGAATGAAGAAAACTAGAAACAGCAAGATTTCAATTCCTGCAGTTGGCAAAACAAACCTATAAAACAAAGTAGCAGGACACAAGCAGTGAAGTTTGTCCATATCTGAGCCAACAGTGTGACTGCAGCCTGTGACACAGCCTGCTGCAATGCTCTTGGATGTTAGACAGTGTACAGAACCAGCACTTCCCTGGCACGTGTTTTCCACTGATTTTGTGAGTGATTTTGCATAGGAAAACTGTATGTGTAAAGTAAGTGAAAAGATTTATCACTGCTTGTTCAGGTCTCTTCCAGATATCCTTCTATGGATCAAGCTTGAAAAAAAATGCAATAATAATGTGGCAAGTACATTACAGTATGAAATATATGTCAGGCAAATAATTTTTCAGGTACTCTTCTGGCATTGCCTGCATATCCACAGAGTTCATAAAACAGCTAAAGGTGATTTATGCATGGTAACCTTCTTGGCAGGAATTGTTATGGCAAGAAAAACTTATTTACTGATTGCAGACACCCGTACAATAACACAAAGATTTTTAATTGCATGAAGCAATCAATCAGTGTGAGGCACAGATGGTGAATGAGGAAAACACCAAACACAATGTTCGGGTTTCCTTTTTGTTCTGAAGGGAATATCTAAGCTATACTGTTGTCACTGAGAAGTGGGTCTGTGCTCTGAAATGTAGAACAAAATAATGTGGGTTGACCTAGAAACTGTACAGTTTCTGTGGTTACAGAGGTAATATCATGCTGCAAACAGGCAATGAAACATAAATTGCTACGTTACATATGTAACTTGCATCATCTTTAGAATCACAAATCAAGAAGTGCCCAAATATTAATTTTGAAAATCAGATCTGCAACAACAACAAAAAGAAAACAACCCTAAATCCATAGCAGTTTCAGTACTCAAAAGCTGTTCTTAATCCATGGGAACTACAGTGAAGTTGTAAAGGCTGAACACCACATCAATATTCCCAGCACCAGCTCAGTCACTTCACAACTGTTCTATTGTTTTATTTATGAATATTACAGCTCAAGCTTGCTCGAGTTCCACAAGGACTCCATGGCAATCTTTAGGGTGAAGAAAAATCACAGGTTTGCCATGTGCACCTATTTTTGGCTCTTCACTCAATATTCGTATCTTTTTTTTCTTCAGTTCTGTCATAGCCACGTCTATGTCATCAACCTTATAAAAAAAATACAGTTCACACAAATTAACATATTGCACTGTATTATGCAGATTTTACATGTAGGAGCAATAATATAATTCCTTACTACAATGTTGTTTATAAATTCTAATATAATTCTGAAAATAAATTAAATTGTCAAACCATTTTAAAACATCTGGTCTTAAAAATAAAAATACTACAGGAATTTGCATTTGTTATTTGAAGATTTTATGAAATATTGTTTAAATAGATTGTGTTATATTTAAGAAATTAATAAACTAAAATCACTCATGCACAAAGCCCATTGATTTTTTTTATGCTGTTACTTTATATGGACTCCATAAATAATCTAAACTTTGCACTGCTATTACTAAGATAATCATATTGCTTTCAAACTATCAATAACTAAAGAAAAATGCTTTCCTTTCCAACTGATGACAGAACCCTGGCTCTGTGAGGTTGATGTTGGTGAAGAGGGCAATGGGCAGAAGGTAAAAGTAAAGTCCCTTTTAGGATTATAGATCTTCCTTCTTAGTAGGTTAAGCTTCATAAAGGTTCCTAAGAAAAAAACTTGTAATTATCAAAAATATACCCAGAATAGGTCTCCCTATTGAACTTAATCGTAATAATAGCCTTTAATATAACATTTCAGTACAGTTTCATACAGAAATACATAAGTAACAAGAACTTGCCTATGCTGAGTAGTGTGATCTGAAGTCTGATGTCATCCAGTGCAATGTGAATTTTCCCAAAGATTAAATTATTTGAACTATTAAAATTAGCACTCACTTTAGCACATCCAATGGTCAATAAAGACCTAGAATTAAAACAATACCATTGCTACTTTTCAAGACTGAGGTGTCTGGACAGACTTTGGTGAATAAACTCTCATGATGCCATTGCAGGGAGGAAGGAAATACCTAGCTTTAATTCAGAGGAACAGCCATCAGTTAATTCCCACTCATTTGCAGCAGTTTTGTTCATGAATATTCTAAACACACTACAGTTCTTCCTACACACAACCACAGTCTGCTGAAAGAAAAGAACTGGCTGTCAAGTTTTAGCTAAAATAAAACAGCACATGTGATGTGTGCCATGGCTCCCTCCAGCTTGTTTCCCTGAGCAGAAAAGCCAGTGCAGCTGCTGCTCCTGTCCTGCAGAGATGGCCTGGAGAGGAACTGTGTCTGGGCTCAGCTGGAATGAATTACTGCATCCTCAAGGAAGCAGGGAGAGTAAACAGTGGAGAGCCTGTGGGTGCATCTGTGTTAGGAGAGTATCAGGCTTGGACTTCTCTCTGAATCTAAGAAGTGTCCAGGATGCTTTTCTTTGCATGTACTAAATCAGTTATAACTGGTCAGGAATAAGTTAATTTCTTCCTAAAATACTTACCTTGTTTGAAACAAGTTCCCTATCAAAACATCTGTCTAAATTTTCCTTTGAACAGAAACAGAAGGAATAAATTAGAAGTATTTTGATAAGCTTGTTAGGCTTCCTCTCCAGTGTGGAAAGGATTTTTACAATTCAGCTTTTTGCTATAAAATTATTCATAGAAAGAGATTTCTACAGATTATTTTGTAAATGTCAATGGAACAATCAATTTTTACTAAAATCAGGTTTTATTGAAACTATTTTTGCTCGACTTACAAGACTACTTATCTTTGAAATTGTAAGCTTTTCCATTTCCAAGAATGACAGCCTTATGTTCTTGACACAGGTCAAACCTATGAAAAAATATGCCTACTTTAATATATCTATTTTATTATATGATATATTGTGCCAAAATACCTCAATGCAGATATGATGCATTCCTCCAGTCTTGTTTTTCTGCAGAAAGCTTGCAATGGGACTTTTCTCTCCTAAAGGATGTAGAAGTTCCAGCTTGGTATTCCCCAGCTCCACAAAAACAGTGTAGACACCATGTTCAGGAAGAGCAACAGTCTCGCTCACCTGAGCTCCTAACACATCTTTATACAAGGACTGAGCTTTCTCCAAGTCAGGCACTGCAATTGCCACATGGTTAAGTCGGCCCAGTTTCCACAAACAGCTTGGAATGTTTTGTGAGAGGGACCTTGATGACGACATAGTTCGTACTGTGGGAGCTGCAGTCTGCAGTCTGGTAAGAAGCCCTGGAAAAAAGTGAATAGCACTGATTCAGTGGTTTGGAGAAAGGGTCAATATCTGCTCTTTCCTCTCTGAAGGCCTACAGAAACCACCATGGCATAAGCACAGCACTGTGCAGAGCTGAAGGCAGACTGAGAGCAAGGAAAGAACTACTCTGTAGTACTAACAGCTCACTGAAAAATTTTTCAGAGACCATGTAAATATTCAGAAGTATAAAAGAAAAAGATAAAATAAAAACCCAAACCAGACTCAAATTTGGTGTAAATCCTTACATATGTCTGTTAAAAAGAGGAATACATGACCTAATGTAATGGTCAACTGTATTAAAAGAAACTGTATAAAAAAAGTGAGCTCTGATTTTTTTCAGAGCTTCTTACAAAACAGGGAAAGAAGTTAGGATAGCATGAAATTATAGCTAACAAACCTGAAGACCCAGCTGAAACCTTGGACAGAACTGATATTTGCAAGATCCAAAAGATAAGACTTAAGCTCTCAGCTGTCAGAACTAACTCCAACAAGGAAAGAAATGTCATGTTACATCTGGGCTTAAGGAATCCTAAAATCTCCTGAGTCTGATTTCTTATCTTTCTCCAGTTATTAAGTCACTTGCCCTTCTTACTTTTCATGTGCCATACAGGTCTTATGCTTTTTTTCACTGATCTATTTCAAGATGCTTTGAAATATTTCAGCTCAAAGTACTTTGAACAACATCATGTCCACTGGCTAATAATAATTTAGAAGATTGTCTTTAAAGGCCAAAATCATAATAGCTTGTTTGATGTAACTACTGCCACTGACTTCAGTGTGACTTACAGAAGAAAAAGAGTATGATTTGGCTCATCACAAATGAAAAGTTAATTATGGAAAATTACTGGATGACCATATGAGACAAAGGTAAAGGCTAAAAGTAGACAAAAGATGGAGAGGTCATAGAGAAAAACAGTGTCATGAAAAACTGCTAGGGTATCTTCAGAACTCTTCACTGACTGCTCTGACAAGGCAGTTCTGATATTTGCACTTTGTGAAATTGCTTTGTTGCTCACAAGTAGCTTTAGGCTTGCTAGTTTTTTTTAAAACTCACTCCCAAAAAGATACAAAATGAGGATACTTACAAATGAATTACATTAAAAATTAATCTTTCAGAGTGGTAGAATCTGGAGAGGTTGGGGGTCTGGAGAAATTGTGATTTTATCAGTAGTTTCTAGCATCAGGATTAGAAGAAAGGATATATTCATAAAAACCACATTTTAATTTCATGCCAGTTTGCTTGAGGCCAAGTCAGAGTTCCCAATGCCCCAAGGCCAAGCTAGAGGCATCTCAGCATTTTGGAACTCTTTGAGACATTCTTAGCTTTACATTCACAAATGTGCCATTTTGCTAAGAGATTGTGCCAAGCATGCACCGAGATTCTGGATGCTTTGCAACACACAGAGGATAGCCTGGTTTGACTCTTGTACTCTGTCAGGTTAGTAGTAGCTGTAATTAATCAGCAGCTTCACTGGATGAAACTGAGAACTACCATTCCATGGGAATTCAAAACTGTACAGCTATCAGTTAATTTTTATTCATAGACAACTAAATCTAAGCCTTTCTGAGCATTGTGCTGTGATGGAAGAAGAAATGTTTGTCTGTATTTGACATTTAAAATTACAGTGTGCAGTGTACATACTACAAAGGACTTAGTATCTTTTGATAATGCCGAATCAGCATCCTACAATAAGTATTTCCAGAAAATTGTCCAGTTCTGCATGTAACTGCCCTGGAATATTTCCTGCCAGGCTTTCACACAGTGCATCCTATCATCTCCTCCATCACAGCCAGAAGTTCCTGACAATTCTTTTTCACTTGTCACCTTTAGGCTATCATACTGACATAGTGCAGCAACTACTTTTCAACTTTTTACATGTTAAAAAAAATCCCTGAGCTACTTCTACACAGAAGAAAACTTCTTGTTTTTCAAATGTCTGTGCTGAAACTATTTTGTGGACTTGCCATCTAAATGCAGCTGGATCAGGGGTGAGGAAGCAATACTATGCAATGCTTATAATGTACAAGGTAACAAACATGCAGTATCTGGGTGGCATAATTAGAGGCATGGACAATGAACTGGAGTTTGACCAGATCACCCTAAATAATGTGTTTAAATTTTTTTTAAATAACCCCAACATCTGCTATACAGTCTTTTCTGTCTGCCTAAGCTGCTAGTGAAGTAGCTCAGTTTCCTACAGTGATTTCCTTTGACCTGATTCAATTCTGGCTAAAGCAAGAGAGATTCTTCCAGTTGCAGGAGGGCAATGTTCTCCAAATGAGAAAAATGCTTTGAAGGAGAAGGATCACTTACTATATAATTTGTTATGTTTCCCAGTGCCTTTTATTGTTTTATTCTTCCTCCCAAATACTAACAGACCACAGTTCCATAGAAACACTACTAATGTAGGCTTTTTTCAAGCAATCTTTGCTGATGGGAAAGGCTAAGATTTTTTCCACTCTTTTTTACATTTCCCATCTATAATTCTTGCTGCACTTGACACAGAGCATATGACTACATGGTTATTATAATTTAATTTGTATTTTGTCTATTTTCAAGTGAATTGACAGACAGGCTGTTACTCAGCTACGACTGAAGCAATAGCAAAAATAATAGAAAATGCTTTGTCTGTTGGGTTCTGCCCAAGAAATGTTTGATTTTTGTAGTGTTTCCTGGAAAGACAATAGAAAGAAAAAGTGAAGTATATTCTTAGGATTCTTGTAGAGTCAGGAGATACTTAAATGCCCACTCATATGGGCATAATCTATGAAGTCTTATGAATTTATCCTAGCTCCAGTCATATGCATATAGAGCATTAGTTTTAAACCCATAATTGAATTGACTGAGATTAAACAAAATGCATTTTTCTTCCATTATCTGGATTAGTAACTATATGGATTACTTAAAATTCTAATCTTCTTCTAACCCAATAATCAAAAACTGAAAGCTTTTCAGCAAACTTCAGATTGGAAACCCATCACTTCCATGTTTCAGGAAAGAAACACTCATATTTAATAGAAGTTGCTTCTCCTGGTATACACAGCATTTGCCTCTACTGTTTCTTGGTTTTTAATACCTCATTTCTCAAACACTGACAACTAAATCTCATTTTTTCTAGATACTTTGTCCTTCAGAGAAGATTCAGCTGACCCTGCTCTCATAGATGATTGCAGGCTGCCTGGCCTCAGGGACACTGCAGAATGTACGTAACCTTCTTCAGCTTCATTTGAAGAATATTTTTGAATTGATCTATTTGGGTCTTATTCTATTAATGGTTGACTGATCTGCTAGTCTTATGCACATCAGAGTTTAAATGTACAGTTGTACCAAGTGAGGCTCACATTCTGTAGCACATTATGAAGTAACAAGACTGAAGTACCCCATAAATTGAGATCCTCATCCTACAAATATTTATTCATAGGCTTGATGTTTCCTACGTGAGGCAGTGTTCCTTAACTTACATGGAATCAACACAAGCCAAATCCAGCTGAATTCAGTCAGGTTCTCTATGGGGAGGTTGTACAACAGTGGGTGGCAGTGAGAGCCTTGTCACTGGCCACTGCTCTGTTGTCAACCATTTCTGGCTGAGAAAAATTCCCAAGCAAAGAGAGGATGCTGTTGCATTGGGTGTCTGGCATATTGGGGCTGTATGTTAGCTCTCTGGACCAAATGGAGAAAGGGCACAGTCTACTCACTCTTAAATCCCAGAAATGTCAAGGTGGCATGAGCATCTTGGGAACTTTGCCAGCAACTAGGCTTAGGTCATCTGTAGTGCTGCTTTGCTCTGTGCTGGAGGGGACTCTGGGGAATCAGATGGGCTCTATGGTTGGTAAAACTGTCTCACTATGCTGCAGCTCTGCTTTGTTCCATCACAGTGCAGCTATACAAAGGTGTTTTCATTCCCAGCATCCCACTGATCGATTAATGAGTCTCTAGTTCGCTTTCCTCCTGCAGTCTATGGCTAAAAGAATGTGTTTTAGGTATGGCGAGTCTAACCTGCCCTTACTTACTCCTAAGAGAGTGAACAGTACAGGTTAGTATAATGAACGGGAAATGATGTTGAATTTGACCTCCAAACCGTACATTAAAAAACCACAAGCTCCACCTTGCCTGCCTAAATTTACCCTAAGCCAGCTGATGCCAGTTAACATGCCCTGTCAGCTGACTCAGACCTTGTTCCGATCTACCAAAGCGGCCGTTCCGTTTGGCCTGCGAGGGCGACCGGACAGCGCGCCCGGCCCGGAGCGGTGCTGGAGCAGAGACACCCGCGGGGACGCG